CCTTATCTTTAATATTAAGTAAAGTGAGTGAGAAAAGTAGATGCTTATCTCCTTTATTTGAAAAAAAAATGCAAATAAAATGAAATGAAAAAATAAAAAAATTTTTAATGTTTGTAAACTTTTTATTTTTTTTTCCTCGAAATCTGAATATTTTTATTTTTGTTTTTCATTTGCATTCATGAAGCTGTTAGATTTCCCATTTATATACTTTAGAAAATCCAAATAATATTTAAAATATCAATTTACCAACTTAAAAGAGCTACACAGTACCTAAGAGTAATCTATATTATTGTATTCTCCAAATTCAAATTTCCAAACTGGAGTAAATAATTACATATATTTTAAAAATATAAAAATTATTCTGTTAATAAACCATTAATGATGTCCTCCTATTGAAGATAAACACGAAATCTAGTTCAAACGGAATTATTATCCTAACATAAAAAATTTGAAAAACTAATTTGCGAACTGCAGAATTCATATGGACTAGAACTACGCAATATTCAGTTGTCATTTTCATATTAACATATATGGCAAATTATAGAACCCAATTGTATTTATAGATTAACTTTATTTGAGTAAAAAATTATTTTTACAGCCTAACTTATTTATAGGCATTGCATATGTTGATTATATTTGCTCAGATTACATTTGAAGTATCTCCTTTGTATAACAATTTCTTGATAACAAAAAGTTATATAACTATTATAATTCTAAATGTATAACAGCTTTTTTCTCTATATTAATTTTATGGTCAATTACGCTAATATAGCCTTGTTACCATACATATAATTAAGTGTTTTAAAACTTTTTTTAATATTCATGAATATTTCATCATTGACATAACCAAAATTCGCTTATTTTAGGAAAACGAATTTAAAAGTATTGGGGCTAATATAATTTTCTGGTTATAGCATAATTTTATTTTTCATTAACATATAAGCAAATTTCAAACTAGAGAAATTGTGTTTGAGCACAAGAAATAAATGTTTTAAGAGCTTAGAGCCTGTAAATAAGCGACTTGCAACTTTTATAACATAAACACATCTTATGATTTTTCTTCTACACTGTAAAACTTTCTTGCATTATATTGGCGTTCTAACTTAAGAGTACCTCTGAATCAGAATGAGATTTTTTTTTTATTTTGTCATGTTTTAGTCCTTGATTTTCTTTATTCTCATATTTTTGTATTTTGTTTTGTTTTAATGTGTTACTTCTGTTTCATTTTTATTTTGCATTCTTTTGGTTTTATTTTCTGTATAGGTGACATCAAAAAGGAGGTAACGAAACGTTAAAGAAAATTTTTTTTTTGAACAACATTACATTTTAATCCTTTTTTTTTCATTTTTAAATATCTTTTGTCTTCATTTTTATTTCATGATTATCAATTTTTTTTTTTCAGATTCAGATTAAAAAAGTAAAGAAAAAAAATTTTTTTTCTATAAAATTTCACATTTTCTTCATCTTTTTCAATTGACTGTTGTGCTACACAATATGAAAGAAAGAAAGAAAACAAGTGATAATAATGTAATATTTTTCATTCTATCTCTTTCTATCTGTGAAAAACCTTTTAATTTTACTTTCTGCTGTTATGTATATAGTGTTTAATTTAGTGTGCATGAAAAAATCTTGATTTCTTAGCTTTTTTTCTTAACAAATATAAAATTTGCTACTTTTTTTTTACAATTTCACATCTTGCTTTTTTTTGTTCTTTTTTTCTATTTCCTAATGAAAAGTTATTAAACATTTTGTCAAAAAAAAAAATTTCCTTTAATTAAAGATTTCTATCTTCAAGACAACATCTGCTTTGATGACCCTGAAGGAGAAGTTTTTAATTTTTCACATTTTTCTTTTTTTGTTTTACTTTTCTGCTTTGTGAAGTTTTTTTATTTTCTTATTCTTTTTCATTTCTTCACTCACATTTTATTTGGAAGGATAATCGTTTTCCATTCAAAAAGTGAATACAGAATGTAAGTCTTTTAATTAATTTTGAAAATTAGAACTTGTTGGTGTTAGGAAAATAAATTGTTTTTCTTGTTCCATTTTTCATTATTTGTTTTTTGTTTTTGACAAAAAGCACAAATGGAAGAAAAATCTTGAAGGTGAATTCAAAGTTGAGATGTGAAAACAAAATAAAAAGAAATGAAGTACTGCTGTTGCAAAAATTTATTTCTGGTGTCAGGAAACGTTCACAAAGTGTAATTTTCGTATTGTTGAAACTTAAAAGTAATTAATTTTGAAAAAAAAATTAAAATTATTGAAAATCAAAAACTCATCAATATCTTTTGCAGATTTTTGTATTCCATAATTGTTATTCTTATATAAATGTATGTATTATAACCTGAAAATTGAACCTGAACAAAAACCTGATTTATAATTTAATTACATTATTAAAAAAAATAAAAATAAATTTTAAAAAATTTGGAAATACCTATCTCATAATGCGCAGTTCAAGCCACTAAGTGAAATTTATTTTCCGAAATATTGTATTCAATTTACAGAAGCAATACTTGATGTTTTATATTCCGAAGTAATATTATGCATTTCTTTTATCGTAATTTTAATAAAAAATCGTCACATAGTTTTGCATGTTTGCATATATGCATATAAAAATAATAATCCAATATCATTTAGCAGTTCTACATTTTCAATCCCAAACAAAAACTTTCTAATTAAAATTGCGAACCCAACATGCTGAAACTTAGATATTGCTTTCAAATATACAAGCTAGACCAAATAATAATGAATAAATTTATTTTATATTGGAGCTCTAATAGCAAATCCATTCAAAATTTAATTAAAATTACTCTAATTTAATAACATTATATACCTAGACAGTTTCTTTCAAAAATTTTATTGGCAGAACTTATTAACATTTTCTAGACAATATAGATATTTACAAACAAACAAACTTCAAATAAACTTGCATTAAATATATTCCATTTAAAATTAAAAATCTTTTGCAATTAAATAGAATTTGCAAAAAACATTTTTTTTTTTCAAAAACTTCAAAAAATATAATACCTTCTTTTATAAAAATAAAATCCTTGAACTACATCAAAAACTTTATTGAAAAGCAAATTCTAATTCCAAAAATTGAAGTTACCAGTTTTTTTTTTTGTATATTTGTTGGCAATAATCCAAATTTTTATTGAAAGAATTTAACAAAAAAAAAAAACAAAATTGAAACTGGCGAACCAGTTCTAATTGTATGACCTAAACATATTGTTTGATCAATATGAATATACAATTAACTTAATGCTTTTTCTTGCATAAATTTATACACATACTTGCAAACAACATCAATACACAATTTACCTTAATAAATTATCTATTTAGATATACATATTAAAAATTGATATTAAATACTAACAAAAAATTATGCAAGAAATTAAAGAAAATTGAAGCTGGATAAATTTTTAACCGTAAATCAGAAATTCTAATCGGCTAGATTTCTGTGTCATCCCAATAAATCAAAAAATTATGTACATATTTTACATTATACCTCATCTTGCAACAAAATGAAATGATTTAGATACTTTCAAAAATAAGGAAAAAATTAAAAATTATTAAAAGAATACCTTTGACTTTCAAAGCTCCGCTAGTAGACAGTAACACTGTAATTTATATGAGAATTTTAAAATCCAATATACGTTTGAAAACTTGCATATAAAGTTTGCATAGTCAGACATTTTTAACTTTAGCACTAATGCTACTAAATAGAACGCACATCTTAAATTAAATAAGTAAGAAATTAAACTCCTTGAAATACAATTCTTATCAATAAAATTATTCAATACTACATACATTTCAATTTATTAGTAGAATTTCCAATATTTCTCATAAATATCTCGTACATTAACTCCCCACATTATCGAAATTGTTAAAAATTGCATAATGGTTTATACAATTATATTAAAATAATTTTTATACATCCATATTCCTTATTCATATAAATAAGACCCGTAACAATGAGATAATGTTTCAAATTAAAATTCAACTTAAATCGTATCTATATTCTGATTCTATTGAGATACGAAATTTAAATATTAGAACTGAAGTAATAAATGAGAAATATGTATATAAATGTATGTTATGTATTTATGAAAAATATTATTTAAAAAAAAACAAGTATGCAAAATTTTTAAAACAGATGCATTTTTTTATTAATATATTCGTTGAATATTTCGAAATTACAAAAATTTAGACACACATAACAGTAATATACTGCGGTTACAAATACAGCATATAAGAATGGTGAATAAAAATCGACAATAATCAAAAACAGAGTGAAAGAATAAATTTGCAATTGAAAAACTTTAAAAAATATTTTTTTTATATTTAATATGAAATAAAATCCTTGAAAGGTATTAAACCTTTCATATTGCGGTATGACCAAAACAAAAATACATGAAATATTATAAATTTTTATTTTTTATTAAAATTCTAAAATCAATTTGTTTATTTTATAAAAAATTATTTTTGAATTTAAAATTTTAATTAAACTTTTTAATTAATTTTATTTTTTAATTTTTTTTTGTAAAAGTTTATTTAATTATTCTGGGAAAAAATTATATTGAAATTTGTTTTCTGTTTATACAAAAATTGACTACCTTTGAAGTGTTTTTCAATAAATTTCAACAAAATAAAAATTTCAATCACTGCGACATGCACTGCAAAATGAAATCTTCAATTCATCATCCGATCTAATTCAAAAGTATTCTAATTCAAGTATTCGAACATTCTTAATAACTTACGAAATTAAAACTCCTATTATAAAGTAACCTTAGCTAAATTCAAAAATGTCTTAAAATTGATCAGAGCAACGAAAATTTTTGCATTTTATCTCATTATTTTTCCCCTTAACTTCACATTTGAAAGGAAAATCTAAATAAATAAAAAAAAAACACCATTTTATTTTCCCAATTTTATTTTGTAATTTTTTTTCCTTACTTATTCGATTTTTTTCACTAATTTTTTCATTTTCTACTCAATTTCAGATTTAAAATTTACAATTTGCAATTTGAATCCAATGGTAGACAACAACGTTTATCCGTAGATGGACCACAAGCTGGTAACTGGTTTGCAGTTGCTTTTATTAGTTGGACAGATCCAAATAACGAGAGAATCGAACAGCAAGGTAAATTATTTATTTTTTTTTATATTGTATACATTTTTTTTAAGTTTTTTTTTATGCATATGATTAGTTTTTATTATGTGAAAGAAAAACAGGAATATAAAAACTATTAAAAAAAACTCTGATATGGTCAGCACATAATCAACCGAAAAGTATATTTTCCCGTTTGAGAAAAATTTTGCATCAAATTATTATAAAATTTCTTTTCAAAAGTTGTTTTAACTTCTAATACAACTTTGGAACGTGTAGTTTCATTAACAAGCACAATTCAAATTTAAAATTTTAAGAAACTCTGGCAATTAGTTCCAATAAGATTGTGATAACAAATGTTAAATCGAACGAAATTTCGGTTTCCAAGGCCTGATGTTCCCAAAAAATTTGCAGAATATAAAAGTCAACTGGACTTTTGGCTGGCACAAGACAACTGGACTTTTGGCTTCGTTCAAAAGCTGGTATTGTTAAACGGAACTCATATATAAAATTGCGAGAAAATCTATTTAATATTTTCTTTAAAAAAATTAAAAATGTAAAATCCTCTTCCTTAAACCTGGTATATCCCGTAACATTTTGCTAAAAATCTACGTTTACTTACATTTCTCCATAACAAAGAAACGCATTTCTGTCGAAAACTCGAGATATTAAACTTAATGCCATTACATTACTTTCCTTATAGCATACCCCATGGTCGGTAAAAACTTGGGGGAAAAAATATTTTATTGCATAATGAAAAAAAAATGAACGGAACTTGAAATTTCAAAGAAAAATTTCCATTTGGAAAATTGTAAAAAAAAACTAAAATAAAAAAAAAAGAATGCTATTCAATTGTTGAATTTTAATTCAAATATGCAAAATAACATTGAGAATTTTGATTTAATCAAGAGATATCAATTGCTAAATAAATTTCTAATTCAACTTTTTATCCTTTTTGAAAATGTTTTTTAAAATACTAATCATACTTTAAAATTTTAACATAAAATCTTTATTTGAAAATCATTGAATATAATTACCTAGTTGTTTTTTAAATTCTAGTCTCTGATAAAATTAACAAAACATCATTAATTTTTATATGAGTACATGAATAAAAAAAAACATATTATTTAATCAACACAGCAATTTTTTGTGATTAAGGATAGAAATGAAAAAATTTTATTTAGTAATTATATTAGGGAATATTTTTAATAATTTCCTATTATGTAATTTTAAATAAATAATATGAAATTTTTAATAATGTTTAAGTTTTAAAGCTATTATTGCCAGAAAGAAACGTTTAACGCTTAGTTTGAATGGAAACTTAGTTACAACGTTTACGAAATTTAAAAAAATGCTTCAAATTCGACAGTATATAGGTCAACTAAAAATGTCACTTAAAGAAATTTAAGTCAGGCTTTTAGTGAGAAGATCTTAAAGCATTTTTTTAAATTTCGTAAACGTTGTAACTAAGTTTCCATTCAAACTAAGCGTTATACGTTTCTTTCTGGCAATAATAGCTTTAAAACTTAAACATTATTAAAAATTTCATATTATTTATTTAAAATTACATAATAGGAAATTATTAAAAATATTCCCTAATATAATTACTAAATAAAATTTTTTCCATATACTTAAAGCTCACCATCTTAAAGTATATGGAACTTTTAATGTACAGACATACTCACGGGTGGAAAATGTTCTTGGATGACAATGCACTTTTTCCAAATTAATTTAAAATATGCTAAAATTATGAATATATTTAAAGAAAACTTATTAAATTTTAAATAAAGATGTTATTTTGCATCCAAAAATGAATTTAGCATTAATAGTAATTTAAATACCCAAAAACTTAATTATCAAAATATAGCCCACATGTTTAGATATAAAAATATTGGTTTTTTTAATTAAATTCTTATAATAATTTTAATTTGCAATTTATAAAAATACATTTAATATCTTATTCTTAATTGCATCGATAAAATATGTAAAAGGATTATATAAAAATACAAAAATCTATAAATTTTTAAATGAACAATTTAGTTAAAACATTTTAATCTACATTGAAGCACATACTCTATTCAGATTTCTGTTTCATATTATAACAACACTGTGATTGTGTAAATTACGATTTTAATATAAAATTTATTTAAAATTAAAATATATATATATATATATATGGTCTGAAATATTTCATTGAATAATAATTAATGTATACCGATAATATTCCATTATCATTTCAATTCATTTGTTATACATACAACTATACTGTAATATATGCTTACATTTGATATTATGAATATTATACTTGCAAATTAATATATTAACTTCAATATAAACATAAATGCCATATGAATGGAAACATACTCGTAATATATAATATATTTCAATATTTTTTATAAAACAATGGAATACCATTATGCAATATGGTACAATAGTTAGCATACATTCATTATTGCATATTATTTTATGATATTACCAAAATATTTCTGAATGTATTTATTTAAATCAAAATTATCAAAAATAATTTAAAATGCATTGATCTTATATTTAATGCATATTTTATATTCATATATATTTTTAAAAGATATCACAGGAATTTTGTTCAAGAAATTACATATATTATATTTTATCTCTTATACTCTACTTTGTTAAGCTAAAATATAAGCTGTTTGTATACATTTTATTTGTATATATAAATTTTATACAGGGTGGTACACAACTGGTGTTAAACCTCCCACTGGAAAATTTATGGCTAACAGGAAAAGAATTTGAACGTCTGGGCTCTAGAAGTAGTTCGAGCGTTAAAAAAATTCAGATTAGAAAAATTATGTCTGACAACACAAGCTTCGAAACAAAGCGGTAACGTCTATGGTTGGTGTTAGATTTAATGTTTTCAAGTAGCATCTACCTAAATATGTCAAAAAAGCCCGCTTTCTTCTTAAATTTTTTCTATGTGTAATTCCCTACAATTTACATTATCCCCTAGAACTTGGTTATATATAATTTTCATGCCACACGTATCGTTTATCGAATCTTTATTGCGAAATTCAAGTTTTTATTTTGAGTATTCTTTTTCAAAACAGTATAGTTTTTTTTTGTAAACCATCGTGTAGAATACGATCACCCTGTATAATACAATATAAGAAAAATTCTTTTACAATATTTGTGCCATTATTTTTCTTTATTGATAAAAGATAGGAAAAATAATGAAAAACAAAGGTGGAAATGATATTTTCAAGTGCATTTATTTAAGCATTATTTACTTTACTGCACATATATTACATTTATTGCATACATATTTCATATAAATATAGTCAATTATTAGTAGACAATACTTTATAGTTTAAACAAAGGAAAATCCTTTTTGTTTCTTTCATTAATTTTTAAACCTATAGTACTTTTGCATAACTATTTGTTTTATGTCATTTATTCCAGTTTTCCTTATATATGAGTTATCTATGTATACTTAATATTCATTTAAGTTTTTAATTCTTATAATAATTTAATTTATTACCATTGATAATGAAGAAAACTCATTTCTATTGATTTTTTATAAATTCAGTAATAAATATGAAATAAAAATGAAAATTTAAATGAAATCAAGTTTACTGATTCTCTATCAAAAGAAAAGTGCATGCATATATATACATATTAACTACATATTAAAAAGTAACGTCTAGATCAAATACATGATTTCTATAAATGCCTATTTGTTTGACGACTAAATTTTTACAACAGAACTCATACATGTATGTACAAAAATAAAAATGAAAGAAATTGAAAGAAAATGTTAACAAATTTTCTATTTAACAATATTTTGTAAATTTTCCATTAATTTCAAAAATGATTTTCAAAAAGTCATTCTTAGCTTTCAAATTTATTTATTCTGGAATTTGTATCATCGAAAAACTACAAGTTGCTATGCAGTATACCAATGTCATAATATATATGTATTCTAAAAATAAGAATACTTTAAAATTGAACAAAAATAGTTCAATCGAAATACTTCGGAATGTAAAATATTAGGCACTGTTGTTGTAAATTTCGTTACTTCGGAATATTTCGAAAAATATTCTCAGATTGGTATACTTATGAGAATATTATATAGATATACTAAAATTTTCAAGATGCGTACTACATAAGTTTTTACATGAATAGTAAGGTCCCTATAAAAAAAGTAATCTGTGATATGAAACAGTGTGACAAATATTGCAACTCTTAGTATTTCTACGGATATCACACAGTTGACATGCATATTATACACTTCACTCATCTTAATTTTAATAACCTTGTTTGATTAACCTGCTATGCGGGGAAACACAATTTTTTTTATTTGAAATCATTAGTTTGCTGAGAAAATCAGACATTTTTTCTATACAGTACTGTTGTACTAGCTTTACATTTGTACCATTTCAAAATCAGCACCTGCTTTTTATGTGAAATGCTCAGAAAGGTACATACCATCAAAATTACTCTCGAGGATTAAAAATATTAAATTATTGTTTGATATTAAAACAAATAATTGAGGATAATCTGCTACTAATTTTTTTATAAAAATCTTGAACTTGTTTTTCTTTCATTAAACTTTTAAATATTAAAAAACAAAAAGAGATAGGCATTTATGCATTATTATAAATTATTAATCTTTTTATTAAAACTATAATTAAATAGCACATAGGAAAATAAAAGTGCAAAGTTTGAAAAATTTCTAAGTATTTTTTTTTTTGCTTAAATATTTACATAAAATTATGAGGCAATGTGATAATGAGCACTTAAAAAAATTAAAATTTTTTTAAACTTTATCATAATACCGAAACCGTTGTTTTCAGACGATTACATTACAGACTATAGTAAAACTTTCAACACAATATTATGCACCTACTTGAATAATTGTACAACATTACTATTATACTTAACCTTATGTAAACTAAACAATCACATAATATACAGTCATAGCCACAATTATTTTCACAAGGCAAAATTTTTGTGAAATTAAAGTTTAAATTCACATAATTTCTACAATTATTAATATT